GTTAAAATGCTTTGAGTCGTCAGAAGACTAGAAAAGAAAAATATACAAGCTCAAGTCTATTCACCATGAAGTCAATAAAAGGCTGAATTAAGAAGTTAAAATAACGAACAAGGAATTAAAAAACAATTAAAGGCAATAAACATCAGGAAATGCTTCAGGTTAAAGAATTAGATGACCAGACGCAGAGAAAACATCATGTCAAACAACACGACTCACTTCAACAACGCTCTCAGGAGACAGGAGACCTGCGCTGAGATCTTAAAGGGTCTATAAGCTCGAAGGGATTTGATGAGATTTCAAATGTATATCAGCCGTGGAAACAGAAAGATGGACACACAAACAAGTGGACAGGCAGCACGATGCAAAAGAAATGATGAAACACTCACACACGTCGTAAACAGGGCGAGGAGTGAACACGATTTAAAGAGGGAGCAGACGTGAAAAGGGTTAAAAAAAGGAGTGATGTCATCGTAGCTGGACTTTAAGTATGAAATGAACATTAACAGTTACTCAGGTGTTAAAAGGTTTAAAGTGAATCTTCATCAAATCAAACTCACAGAGCTGCAGGAAAACCTGCTCAAATTAAAACATCTTCTTTTACAGATCCATTAGTAACGAAGGGTTAAAGATGACTCCACAGGTGCATGACAGACTGATGGAGGGAAGCAGCTGTAGCTGCGGCTTTGAATCTTGACTCGCGGACCAACATGCTGTTTGAAAAGTCGCTGACTGGAACTTAACCGGCGACGTTTTACTTCACATACAAACATTTTTCTCAATCTCTCTGATTTGAGAGTTCATCGATCACACAGCATCATGAGGGTTTTTATGAAGCGGATAATAAAAGACACATAAAATAAGAATGCCGCCTCTGACTGGTCGCTGAGGTGCAGGTGCTTTGAGTGTGTGTGTGTGTGTGTATGTGTGTGTGTGTGTGTGTGTGTGTGTGTGTGTGTGTGTATGTGATGAGAGTCAGGTATGACAGCTCTGCATCCTGAAGACGTGTGTGTGTGTTTGAGTCATTCCACCTGATCAGTGTTAACCATGTCAGCTCTATATCCTAAAGGTGTGTGTGTGTGTGTTAGTGCGTGCATGAGTGCGTGTGTGTGTGTGCGTATGTGTGTGTGTGTGCAGGAGAGAGCTGGGATTCCCTAAAGCGTGTTTAGTAAATCCTCGACCGGCACGGATTCCCAGGCATCGCGTGCAGCAGGGTGGGACTCCCGGGATAAATCACGCCTCTGCACGCCTCACACACACACACACACACACACACACACACACACACACACACACACACACACACACACACACACACACACACACACACACACACACACACACACACACACACATACATACATACATATAGATACAGTAGACAACAGCTTGTAGCAGAGGCCGGTGTGAGCCGGTGTTGTGGGAGGGTTAATGGATTTTAACCATTTATTCACCTGTAATCCCCATTAAATCCACCGCTGGACTTTCCGTGACCAAGCGAGACCTCTTATCTCGGTATCAGCCCCCGTCTGGTTAACCTCAATCCCAACCTGTGTGTGTGTGTGTGTGTGTGTGTGTGTGTGTGTGTGTGTGTGTGTGTGTCAGTGTGAATGCACATTCCGTGTTTGCTCGGGGCTTGGCTGCTGAAGACATAGAATGATACGAAATATGAAAGAATGATCTGATTTACCTGCACAAAGAAAAAAAAAAAAAAAAAAACTCTAACTGTGATTTTCTTTCTCCTGAAGATAAATGCGAGTCTGACTTTAAAGATCAGCTCCGAGTCTGATGAGGCTCACACGCCGAGGAGGGCTTGGTCGCACTGTGGGTGGTCAGTCTGCAAGAGATCCCAGCACTGACGAGAAAAACCAGTCCTGTGTGTGTGTGTGTGTGTGTGTGTGTGTGTGTGTGTGTGTGTGTGTGTGTGTGTGTGGTGGGTGAGAGTGCAGCCTATTATGGTCGACTGAACCAAAACATGTCATTGCTGAGAAATGGTCTTCTCTCCACCTCCAAACTATTTTCATCCTGACAAGCTGACTCTACTGTAACAGAGCAGATAAACTCGGATTGTAACATCTGCAGCTGAAGCTTGATTTTATAATTCGGAGAGTGTTAAAACATCTCAGGGTGGAATGTTTCAGTTTATGGCGGATTATTTTGCATTGCGGAGAGCTGAGTTATCTTTTAACAGACCTTTAATGAAACGTAACAAGCTGCTGGTTTAAAGGGGGGGTGGGGGTGGGGGTGGTCTCTTAATTTAAATAAACTGAAAAATAAATGACTGAAGGAACTTTTATACTCTGAAACATCTGGGCTAGCATTGCCACTACAAATCATTTCTTTATAAAGATACCTGGAGGCTGCGTTCATGAGGAGCCGATACTTTGAGGAGTCAAGAAAATTATGCTCAGAGCTAAAAGTTCATCTTAAAAAACACTCCAAGCCAATGTCCCAAGCCTCATAGTTTCATCACTTTCTGATGAAAATGACAAAAAAAGCCTCAAATCCACAAAGTCAAGAACCTGAAGCAGAACTTTAGGCAAGAAAAACAACAGATATAATTTAATTTAATTTCTTCTTATCACTTAAAGGATTTATTATCTTTTGACTGCAGATTTAAATGAGACATATTTCTGCTTCATGTTTCTCCCGTCCTTCAGGAGTCTCTCTGTGAGGAGTCTACATGTTCTCCTCGTTCATGTGTTGGTTCTCTCCTGGTACTCCGTCTTCCTCTCACAGTCCAAAGACATGCTGGTTAGGTTAACTGCTGACTCTATATTGTCTGTAGGTGTGAATGTGAGTGTGGCTGGTTGTCTGTCTCTATATGTCAGCTCTGTGATTGGCTGGTGAACAGTCCAGGGTGTAACCCCGCCTCTTGCTTAATGACAGCTGGGATCAGCTCCAGAACTCCACGACCTCGTACAGGAGAAGCAGTTTAGATAATGGATGGATGTTTGTGCCTTTCGTTGCATCATTTTAAATCTCAACAAACAAAAAATATAAAATTCTAAAATGCTGCAGTCCAACACTTTACTTTGCTCAGTCGACCAAAAACTCCTGCTTACTGCGCGTAAAGTGAGTTTTCTTGTCGACGGAAGAAAAAGAAACGATGGCACTTAAAGCGTGCAACGTGCCCGACCTTAGCCTACAGTGCAGAAGTGTTAATGCGTGCAGCCTTGATGTTCCAACCTGACACCATTACAACATGTGATGCAAACCACCTGCGCAAACAGCACTACAAAGACCGGTCCTGTGTTCACGGACTGGCCCTTTAATTAGCCTTTAATTGAGCTAGAGCTCCCACAGTGAGGATAGTGAGACACAGGCAGGCAGCTGTGGAGCCGAGCAGAGCGCAGACGAGAGATTAACGGAATGAAAAGACGGAGAATGACTTTTCCCACTCAGTAATCCTCATTTGCACTGATCAGCGGCTTTTACTCTGCATTATGACGCAGGATCTGCTAATAGAGGAGGGTCTTTATGAGGAGATAAATAATCTGAAGCTGTGAGGTGGGGAAGGCTGTCAGCACACACACACACACACACACACACACACACACACACACACACACACACACACACACACACACACACACACACACACACACACACACACACACACACACACACACACACACACACACACACCTCCATACCCCCAAAATACTCCATGATTTACAAACCGCATCTGAGAAGTTATGCAACTTTCAAACATGTGGCCGGTATTGAAAACAAACCGTGGCACGCAACAGCAGCGAGGTCATTTCATACACTGCTCCACTCTCTCTCTCTCCTCAGCCTCTCTAAACCGCTCGCCCGCGCTCTCTCTCTCATCCCCGGAGGAGCACTTGTGCAGCTCACTGGGAAAGCGGTCAGACATTATTAGCTCAGCATCAAGCCACTGAGTTTTTCCTGACATAAGTTGAGGCCTTAAATAGACTTAACGCTGCAGAGGGACACGCGATGTCTTCCACTTTTAGAGCCATTGATGAGAACGGAAGACATGTGCAGGAATAAAGGGGGAAAATTACAATATAACAGAACTAAACGGTGTGATCCTGTGATCGCTCAAACGTGCAAAAATCTCCAAAGTATTCTGACATAATCAAAACTAAAATGCCAAAAAGTCTCTTAGGGTCATTTACCCCCCCGGGTAAAGTTATCTTCAGGGCTCGATCAAAGTGTGTGCAGTAAAAGTTGTTTTTGTCCCTCACGGGCTCAGGTTGTTTTTCAAAGTGTGTGACAACGTTACAGAAAGGATCCCTACAGAGAGAGAGCTTTCAGTTTCAGGAAGATGATTTTGTTTATCATCAGAAACAGTTGTTACATCACGTTCTTCAAAGCCGCCAGACTCCATTAACAAAAACAGCACTTCTACCCCACAGAACTCAGGAGTCGCTGGTCTGCCTCGGTTAGGGTTGTAGTCAAGACCACACTAACAGAGACCAAGACGTACCCGAGGCCAGAGTCCTCCGAGACCAAGACAAGACCAAGACAGGGCAAGACAGAGTCTGAGTCAAGACCAAGACCATAAATATCACTGAAAAATCATCTTCTTGTGTTTAGGGGGCAATGGAAGACCAGAAACTCCTCACTGCTCCACGGTAAAACGTCTGTTTCTGTAAATGAAGTCTGGTGTCTTTGAGACGACTACTATGAGGGCTCTGAGGCGCTGGTGGCACAGTGGCTAGTGCGCGTGCCCCATGTATGGAGGCTGTCGTCTCAAGCGGGCGGCCTGGGTTCGGTTCCCACCTGTGGCCTCTTTCCTGCATGTCATTCCCCACTCTCTCTCTCTGATTTCCAACTCTATCCACTGTCCTATCTCTCCATTAAAGGCACAAAAAGCCCAAAAATAAATGTTTAATAAAAAAATAATAATAATACAAAATAAAAAATAATATGATGCAGGCTCATGTTGTATTTGTTGGATACTATGTCTTGTTCAATAAGCGCTAACTTAAAAAAAATAAAAACAGTGACAAAATTACATGAATAGAACTTACCGAAGGAGCCAGTGGAAGAACAGCAACTCCTGTTTTCTGCAAGACAAAAATGGAAGGTTTTCTCAATTTGGATTTAAAAAAAAAAGGTTTAGCGCTCATACACACGAATAACACACACGGTAAATGGACTTCAGCTTGTATATTTTTCTTTTCTAGCCTTCTGACTACTCAAAGTGCTTTAACACTGCAGGTCACACCTACACATTCACACACTGATGGTAGAGACTGCTGAGTAAAGAGTCTATCAGTATTAACTCATCCATTCAGACACATTCACACACTGATGGTAGAGACTGCTGAGTAAAGAGTCCATCAGTATTAACTCATCCATTCATACACATTCACGCACCACTAACGAAGCAGTGGGAACAACTTGGGGTTAAGTGTCTTGCCCAAAGACACATCGGACATGTAGCTGAAGGAGCTGGGGATTGAACCCCCAACCTTCCAGTTGAGAGACAACAACTCTACCAACTGAGCCACAGCCGTCAGAAACTAAAACAACAACTTCTAGTGGACACACTCTCCCTCTTTAAGATATCAGCATCCATCACAGCTCATCTCACAGCTGTGAAACAATCAACGGGAACAGCTCCAAAACGTTTGTATCTGTTAGTCACTGGGACCGCAACATTTATAAAAATAGGCCTTAAAGGCACCCAGCGTTGTGAGGAGCCGGTTTGTATTAGGAGGGTCTGTGCAGAGAGCTGTTAATAGTGAAAATGTAGTTATATGATTTGATTACACTCATCTCAGCAGCACAGTATTATTATGCAATTTTATAGGCATTACATCTCTCATCTGGCAACGATGATTACTCTGAAATACCCAGAGGAGAGTAAATACTACAAATCAGATGTGATGTTTGATCCTCATTAGGAGTGAAGTTAAGGGAACAGAAAGAGAAAGAGGCGACGCAAAGTTCATCCACCTTTCTGACCTGATACAAACAATCCTATCAGGTCAAATAGAAATGCTTTGAAATATCTGATCAGTAAGGGGATAAGTGTGAACTCATCCTGCTTGTTTCAAGTCAGAATATTTTGGCAGATGAAACCTGGGAAAGTCATAAAAAAGATTCAGCAGGTGATCTGGATCCAACCAAACGAGGATTTTATGAGAGAAGTGGGAAATTTAAAAATCGCAGCATGTGTGAATGCATTCTTTTGTCTGTGTGTGTGTGTGTGTGTGTGTGTGTGTGTGTGTGCGAATGCAGACGGCTTCCTGTGGGGCAGCAGAGGGAAACGGTACCATTGTGTTGGTGTGTTTCGACACCTCCTTCCTCATGAGCCCCTCCACAACAAAAAGGAAGAGGGCTTATTCTTTTGAACCTTGACGCTCTCTTTTTCAGGATTATTCTTTGTGATGTTACTAAAATACAACACGAGCATCATTAGAAACACGAGTCCTCGGTTTCCTCCTTTCGCCTATACCTGTTTCATTTTAACAGATGTTCTGCAGGAAGGGCAAAAAGTCTGGTTTTCAAACTATTTAAAACAGTTACTGTAGTTGGATCCTTTGTTTTATCAAATTAGTTAAAATAAAGATGCTAAGTAAAGAGTAAACGGTTACGATGTAGCTGTTTGTCAGGAGGTTTAAAACCCGCCTCAGCTCCAGCTCTCAGCCTGTTAGGTTGACTGAAAGTTAGACTGAGACAGCATTTCCAGCATGGAGACCGCCATCGATGGGACTCCAGCGCCCCCTACTGTAACAGACGGGTGACGTCACTCAGACTCTGTCGATTAATATTTAGTCTACGGTTGGGAGCAGCTGAATGGCACGTGATGGGAAGTCATGACCCTCTGTACACTGCACGACAAAGTGCCCGATCACACTGAGCTCATCAGGTTAAATAAATAATAACTAAATACCAAACTAGTTTAAATCCTTTGAGCTGTAGGAGGTGAGGCGCTGTGGATGGCGTTATTCTCAACAGGTTGTTTTACGACATTCTGTCTCTGAAGCTGCGGTGGTTTCACAACGACGCTGGACTCGTGAACGGGGATCAAACTCCAGGTGTTTCTAATGCTAAACGCTGGATATTTGACTTATTTGTCTCATGTGACTTTGAGACTCTGTCTCTGCTGCTCAACCCAAGGAGGAAATCTACCAAAGGTTCATCTTCATCAGGTCTGCTCGCCAGATCCTCCCTCTGTGTCGTGAGAGACTCGGAAACACAAGAATCCTCTTTGGAGAAGCGTGAGCGGGGTATCGAACATCCTCCAGCGTGCCTCAGTGTACACACACTAAACGACACTCCATTAATTTCACATTTACCCACACTCAAAGTGGAGGCAACAGCTGCGTGGAGGATGAATGACTACATGTAGTAGAACCAGGAGAGGGCGGGGGAGTGTGCACATATGGAGGGAGAGGAGGGATGGCACGAGTTGCCTGTAATGTATTGCTTCCACAGGATGCCCTGCACGCTCAGAACAAGCCATAATTGGCCCCGATCACGCTCAGCCATTGGAACATACAGTAAAAGTGACAGACAGAGCAGGGAGGGGGGAGTGAGAGAGAGAGGGGGAGACGGTAAGGCTTTGTGACAGAATGATTTTGCAGAAGAAGATGAACTGTAAATATTGACCCTGCAGAGGAGGGCACAATGTGTGTGTGTGTGTGTGTGTGTGTGTGTGTGTGTGTGTGTGTGTGTGTGTGTGTGTGTGATATTGTCTCCCTGATGGTACAGCAAAACAATGCTACACACACACACACACACACACACACACACACACACACACACACACACACACACACACACACACACACACACACACACACACACACACACACACACACACACACACACACACACACACACACACACACACACACACACACACACACACACACACACACACACACACACACACAGTACAAGTTCTTCAGTGGTCCGGAAAATGCGGCAGCTATGACTCTTATTGAGAGGAGATAAACATCACGCTGGTTTTTGAACCGTCACAGAGGCTTTACTTCTGGTTTCGGAGCAGATCTTTCCTGAGATCTTTTTGGACATGGAAGAAAAAGGAAAAAACCTTCAAACCACACACATCAATCAGGTGACATCATCTGATAGGCTCTGACTCTGTCCTCAGTCCTGTCTCTAAAATAAAGAAAAAAAAAATAAAGAAAAAAAACCCTAACAATAGTGCAGAATCCTGCTGCTATCGGAGAATCACATGTTCGAGACAATTCCATTTCTGACATGCCTGTGACCGCTTCACACTCATTTTGTCACCAAACTTCTGACCTCATTGTAACACACACACACACACACACACACACACACACACACACACACACACACACACACACACACACACACACACACACACACACACACACACACACACACACACACACACACACACACACACACACACACACACACACACACACAGACACAAACTGAAAATCGTCCCCCTTTGATCACACTTAAATACTAAAGTTTGTTGTAGCTGGTGGGGCAGTGGTTAGGGCCATCGAATCCTGTCTCAGTCTAACTTTCAGTCAACCTAACGACAGGCTGAGAGCTGGAGCTGAGGCGGGTTTTAAGCCTCTTGACAAACCGTTAGACCGCGCCCACCTGTCAATCTAATTTTTTTGGTACCAGGCTGTAAACATGTTAATTTATGCTGTAAAAACAGCTTTTTTGCCTGTGATCTGTTTGTAACTTACAGTGTTCGTGGAGCCAGCCTCAAGCGAACACTCGAGGACCTGCAGGATTTTACTTCATATTTCAACACCAGAGGTAGGATAGTGCTCACATGTATAGAGGCTGTAGTCCTCCAAGCGGGTGGTCCCGGTTCGAATCCGACCAGCGGCTCCTTTCCTGCATGTCATTCCCCTCTCTCTCTCTCTCTGATTTCTGACTCTATCCACTGTCCTATCTCTACAATAAAGACACAAAAAGCAGTTTTCAGCAGCTCTGTCTCCTAAACTTCAGAGAGTGCAATAATGACCACCTGTATTTGTATTTTAGTAAATTTATATTTCTCTATATCTTTATTTTTGTGTTCTGAATGATGCTACTTGTATATCTATGAATGCTTTCCTTATTAGAAGCATCTGACAACAACATAAAAACATTCAGAGAGTGAGCTGTGACATGAGGTTACAATTACAGATATTTACATTGTGATACCGTGCAGCCTGCATTTTATAAAATGTATGTTTTTGCACAGTCCAGGGTGTGGGACAGAGTGTAAAAGTGTGTATCTCACGCCAAAAAGCGTGAGAGTTGGCAGCCATGTTGAAAAACACAAAGATGACAATTGTCATGTCAGAGAGTCGCTCGCTCTCCTCCTCTCGTCCCTCCATCTCTCTCTGGGCTGTTGTCCTGGTGTGCCCTCCCTCCCTCCGTCATGCTGCTGTCCCTGTTGAGCGACTCATGCATGGATACAATGTGCTCTTCTGTGCTCTTTGAAGGCTAGCATTACTGCTCACACGCAATCCTCACCCAACACCAATACGTCTCCCCCTCCCTCCCTCCCCTCTTTTATCCCTTCTTCTTCATAAGCAGCTCTTTTTAAAGCAAGCGCTGCTCGACTTTTACATATATTTAAACCTTTTTTAGCAGGTTGTAGTGCTTTTTCCCATCTTTCTCATGTTTGTGCAGAAAATAACAATGCAATACTTCTCATGCACACTGGCACTGGTTTGTCCCGAGAGCTCGGTGAACAGAATATAATCTGTGACAGAGGAAATGAAAAGTTGACATGTTCCTGTGGTGACACAGAGCAGCTTTACAGACGCTGGTCTCACCACAATCATTCTGCTCGTTGTTTTACTGGAAAACATAAAAGATGTCATCTCTGTCTGTTCAGGTAAACTTCAAACTTTGATTGATCACATACAGGATGGTCAAATCTATATTGTACTTTAATGATGTAAAAACAGGGATGCTTGACATTAAAGCAGACGTTTTCTTAAACTGACTGCAGAGATCATCCAGTCTGTCCTGCAGAGGAGTTTAAGGAAGTTTTTAAAACCACCTGTTTTCGAATTTAATATTGAAAAATCCAGAAGGCTTC